CTGTTTGCAAGCGACAGGGCTGAGAGCTCATCCGTTTCTTCAATAGATGGTGCACACCATCGACTTGGTCTTCTGGAAGGAGCTCCGCCCACCATCCAATGGGACGAGACCTCATCCCTCCCATCCACCGCATGAGTATCTCTGGCTGGGAGGGAGGAGTTTAACTTCAGAAGCTTTTGGAGACATCGTCCTGCCAGCTCCCGCCCGCAAGACGTGGCCAGCACTGCATAGTTCACAGAGTCCTGCTACCCTGGGAAGACCCTTGAGAGTCCTGGTTTAACCAGGGCTCTGAAGGGGGTCTAACCAGGCTGGTGAGCCCATGAAACCCTAAGGAGCTCTGGTGCTGGTGAGACCCTACAGAGCCTTGGTTTAACTAGTGCTCTGTGGGGGTCTAACCTGGGTGGCGAGACACAACAGAGCCCAGGTGAGACCCTGTGGAGCCCTGGTTTAATCAGGGGTCTAACCAGGCTGGTGAGACCCCACATAGCACTGGTGCTGGTGAGACCCTACAGGTCTCCCCAGGGCTCTGTGGGTCTAACAAGGCTGGTTAGACCCCACAGAGCCTTGGTGAGGCTCCACAGTGCCCTGGTGAGACCCCAGAGATCTTTACAGAGCCCTGGTGAGACCCTGCAGAGCCCTGGTTTTACCAGTGCTTCTTGGGGTCTCACCAGGGCTCTGAGGGGTCTAACCAGGCTGGGGAGACTCCACAGAGCCCTGGTTTTTTTTTTTTTTTTCAGGGCTCTGTGGTGTCTCACCAGGACTCTTTGGGTGTCTCACTAGGGCTCTGTGGGGTCTCGCCCCATCAGCATAATTACATGCCTTCCAAAAGAAGACTCTATTACTTATACCTTTCGGGCTACTGTTTTATTGGAACACCACCTCTAGGCTACACCCCAGTTTCTGCATGTATTCCACATTTCCAGGTATGTGGATTACCTGCTACGTCTACCACTGGATCGTATATCACTACAGCATGTATGAGCTGGCTAGAGTAACAGCAGTATGTGGTGGGAAAAAATAGGTATTTGACCCATCCAACTGCTTGAATAACTGAAGGGGCTAGCAAACTGCAAAGAGGTGGCATTTCAAGGGCTAATCACTGAAATTGAGGTGTTTGCAGTGGTGGCAAATTGAGGTTGATTTACTAAAACAAATGGGATGTTCAGTTTGCAAGGGAACTTTCCCTTTGCTTAGTGAATGTGGTAAATATTCATTTTGCAAAGAATACCCAATTGCATGTAAGGAAAGTAAAAAAAATTTTACAAAATTCTTGCACGTAATTGCATAATTTAAGTCAGCAAAAGTTCACGTTATTTATTAGGCGAAGGGAAATTCCCTGCAAAGTGAACAGTTTTTTTTTTGCTTTTAGTAAATCAATCCCAATGACTGTGGTGCGCTTATTGACTATTAGTTGAATAGCGATACACACGGGTCTATTTATAAACAGTTTGTAGAACCATTCACAGCATATGGAGGCACAAAACGAATGTTCTTAGTATATTTTCTTTTTGGATCTAATGTATTTTTTGAATGTCATCATATACTACATTATTGTCACTAGATAGAGCTGAGGGGAATAGGAAATACATGATTTTTTTTTCCTGTGCTCTTCAGCGCCATCTAGAGGCCATAATGTGGTATTTTACATATAGTACATTTGACTTGGAAAGAACGTTCATGGAGTTACACAGGGCGAGTAGCCCTGTAAATTGTTTATAAATAAACCTAATAGTTTGTAGCAAGAAAATATGGGGCTAACAATGGCAAAGGAAAATATGGCCCAGCATTGGTGGTGTCTGTGGCAGGGGGAAAAAAAAAAAAAACTCAATGTCAGTGCTGTGGATGTAGAGTATGTCTAATGTGAACTTGTTTGTTGGATAATATCCTCCCAAAGGATCGTACAGAAAAGACTGTTTTGTAATGTTTCCTGAGCACTTAGGTTCATAATGGCTGTCACTACTGAAGAATTCTAGTGCGTGTTGCCTTTCAGGCGTCTTACCATTCATATCCTATCAGCTACAGTGTGCACTCCTCTAGGACAGTGACTTTAATATAAATCTTACTCTGTAAAGTCAAAGGGATTTCAGGCCATTACAAATGCTGATTAAAATTAAATCACTCGCAATGGATGTTGCTTCTTGATGTTTACAAGTTTTAGAGGGTTATTCACTATTGAGCCTAAGGATATAGCCGTAGCTTCGGCTAATCCTTCGGCTCTCTACAGCCACCAGAGCCCTTCGGTTCTGCTGTATGGGCTATTCACAATAGCCCGTACAGCACCTGAAGGCAGCCGAACAGCTCAGTCAAGTCTAACACATATGCTTTGGCTCAGCTGAGCCAAACACACAGCTGAAATAGGAATGGTCAGAAACCCTTTTTTGTTTTTTTCCAATTAAAGGATTTTTTCTAAAAGTCTGGTCTCTTTATTTACATTTAACATCTTTAACCCTTTAGTGAATGAGTAAGGGTACAAGTACCCCTTATTTATTCACAAGGGGGGGCAGCTTCTGGGTGACCCTTTTTTAAAGTGGGTACCCTGAGGAAAATAAGCACCCCTGGCCGCAGACCCCCACAACCACCAGGTCAGGGTTGTGGCGGAGGAGGCCCTTGTCCTCATCGGTATGGGGACAAGATGCTTTTCTAGGGGGGCGGGGCCTGCAAAAGCACCCTCCCAATGTTGAGGGCATGTGGCCTGGTATGGTGCAGGGAGGGGAGATGCTTGATTGCCCCCCCCCCCCCCCTCTTCCTCCC